GCGGTCATTGCTGAGCTATTGAGCAAGACGGAGGGTAAGCAGCAGCTCTGTCTTTTTTAGAGACATTCGATTTTTTGTGAAGAAACATTTTCTGATTCGATTACTGTAGGCCACCAAAAGATCTAAAGACTACAACTTTAACTTCAACAGCGAACTTTTCACAGGAATGAAACGGCTGCGATGGTGTCGCCTGTCATTGTGACAGTCAGGGAAAGTGGAATCATGGAGCTATGATATACTACATGACTTAACGTTAATTTAAAAAGATATTACATGGGGATTCCGTTTCACCCATAGAAATTGCACCATCCAGGAAAGTAAGGCAAATGGTTCATTAAACTTAATGTTTAGGTATTGACGGAGCTAGCCATTCGTTGCACGCTCTAATCAACACTTTTTGATTAATAAGGTTATGAGCTACATTAAGTGTCATTATGAAATAGTCTCAAACGAAGGCTCTGACATTTAACATACGTGAGCTCCAACCTTTTAACTTTAACTGACTTAAAATTGAATAGTGCGAAGCTGCATTTGTCCGAGACAACTCTTCTCTGCAGCGCAGAACCGAAAGTGCAAAATTAGCAAAACGGTAAAAATGGCATGGGATTCTTTTGGAAGATTAAGGATGTCCCTGTCAGAGAAACTGTTCTTGTGCTTGAAGCGGCGTGTGTGTGTGTGTTTGAAACGTGTACTCTGAAAGGTTTTCACAAACTGCAGGCTATGAAACCCAGCACGGAAAGATGTATTTTGTGAATAACAAGAATAGACAGACGAATGAATGCGTCTGAGCATAGAAAAGAGTCTGTGATGTCGTTACCTGAGTGACGATATTAAGGTGGCATTGAGCAGGACACATTGCAAGATGAACCAACATTCGCTAAATCAGACAGACATCAGAGACTGGGTTTCAACAGAGAGTAAACGATCAATACGATGACCTACAGATTGATGGCAGAATGGCAAGAAGTTCGCTTGATAGAGATAAAAGAAATTGGCAGAAAACAAGTCTATGACAAGTCTTGGAGAGACATTTGTGCAACTGTGTATAGACAAAGGCTGATGCTGATAATGTCATAATGTGGACTTATTAATATGGATTCTGATCTATGGTATAAACGGTTTCAAATCCACGCAAAGACATGTCCTTTATTTAACGTTACGGAGCTTTTGAAACTTGAATCGATGTTCCTCTTCATTCTTTGTTTAACATTATTTCCGGTTCCAAAAGCTCCGTATATTTAAATGTAGAACTTCTCCAGACTTTGAATCGCTTTTGTCATCTATTGATATATTATGTCTTTGGCCAAATATAGCAACATTTTCTGCGACAAGTTCCTAATCACACTAAACAGGTTCTTGCGTTATCGTACTTATTCCTTGTACATTATTGGCGATAATTTTGAGCGGTCTTATCCATGAGTTTTAAATGTTTTCCGAGCGTAAATGATATTACACAAGTAATAGTTAATTTTTCAAGCAGTATTGCAACTTTGTTTTCTTGAAAGGACGAGTTTCAAAATTTTCATAAATACGATTAACTCTTTTAAGCTCTTACTTTTGTAAACAGCATGGTATGTAAGTGCTTATTTTCTGTTTCCGTTTACTTTCCGTTATGGCCATAGAAATATTGTGGAGTCCTAAATGTGTATTTCTGGAAATTCTTCCTGTGTTTGTTCCGTCATCTTGTCATCTGTGTTTTGCTCGTTTTCAGTTTTTTTCTGTTATTTTTTGTTCTCCTTTTCATCTTTTTCTTCTCTCTAGCATATATTTTTTAAGTTTTGGTTCTTTCGATTGCTTAGATTTGTAGAAATTAAGGAAATTAAATGTATTGAGGAAATAAATGCATATTAAGGTGCCGTTGAATTGATGGACGTCTCGAACCTACTGCCGGGA